GCATAATCCTATGACATACAGTGACATCTGGGAGTCATCACTCGTTCCACGTGCCATTATACATGATGTAAAAACATAAGGTGTGTTCTTCCGGCGTGTTCAAATGTGTCGCTGTTTGCGCCTTCCACTCATCGGCCATATTGGAAGTACGATGATCTATTGTTTATTTCAAACACGCATATATATTAGTCTCCGAGAACCTAATTTTTGACATGTTTACGATTTTTAAATTCGCTCTGTTTTAATATGAAGTGTGATTGGTTAGAAATCCAAAATGGCCAACGAGTGGAAGTGTCCGTGTACAGATGGATGTTCAAATGGATGCGCAAGAACACACCTTATGTTTTTACATCATGTATAATGGCACGTGGAACGAGTGATGACTCCCAGATGTCACTGTATGTCATAGGATTATGCTTGATAAATACACGAAATGGATGTGACATTTATCCAAGAAAAATATGTATAAAATGTAAAATATATATATGCATATAATGTGTAGTTATTATACAGGGTGTTTCGTAAATGGTGAGCAAAACTTTAGGAATAGATTCTTAATGCTTAGAGAAGACAAAAAATTTATATTATAGCCACCTTAGTCACCGTGGCTCCCGGGTGCCATTTTTGTCTACGCCTGCTGTACATCATACCGAATCTTCATGAAACTTAAAATGTTTCTAGTTACTCTCCCACGTCCGAAAATTAAACTAAGTTACTTTTACATTATTATCTACATGTGAGATTTCTTTCAGAATTTTTTAAATGATAATTTTTTAACCGACGCTACTACCTTTTTCAATCCGACCGCGAAGATTTCACGGAATTTCGACGTGTTTACATTGTCTGTTGACGCGTGATTTCTGATTCATCGTTCGATCCCTGGGGATCCGACGTAGTTCAAACTTTAGGGAAATTTCTTCGGAAAGCAATTTTCGTGAAACCTCCCGTCGTTCAGGGGTTGCCGAAAAAAGGGGATCCCACTGCGCACGTGGAATAACGAACGAGGGAGGTTCGTCTCCTTTTTTAACACGAGTTCGGTCCATTATTGTTTTTTAGGACAGACTAGAGACTTCGCACGGAAAATTCCTTATCACAACAGAGGATAAATCAATATATAGAAAGCAATAATAC